CTTTTTGGCCAGGGCTGGGTTTGAACCCACTACTCTGGCATATGGGGCCAGCGCCCTACTCCATTGAGCCACAGGTGCCGCCCTTATAGTTGCTTTCTTTAAAAAGACTTGCAACATAAGGCAGCAAGGGACATGCACCAAAGAATCACAGTTCTTTTTCTCGCTGATTGTTTCATCTTTTTAATTACTTAAAAATTATTATTATTATTTTTGTTTTTGAGATAGAGTCTCACTATGTTGCCCTCAGTAGCCTGACATGATGTCACAGGTCACATCAACCTCAAACTCTCAGGCTTAAGCAATTCTCTTGCCTCGGCCTCCCAAGTAGCTGGGACTACAGGTGCCCGCTACAACTCCCGGGTATTTTTTGTTGCAGTTATCATTGTTGTTTTAGCTGGCCCAGACCGGGTTCGAGCCCGCCAGCCTTGGGTGTATGTGGCTGGCACAGTAACCATTGTGCTACTGGCACCGAGCCACTTAAAGATCATTAATTGAAGGTAAATCTTGATGTTCTATTCAGGAGATCATTTGAAAGTGTTTGACCTTGATCTCAGCATCAGCTCAAATTACTTTACTCAGGTTGACTATTGATGAGATAAGAACCTTAGCAATGCCACAGGAACCCATTTGACCTGCTTCCCCTGCAGGTCTGTCATCACGGGTCTGTCTATGAGGCTTGTCTTCTTTATTTCCACCTGAGATTAATTTACAGTGTAAGCCGCCCCCTTATTTGGGATAAGCTTTTGTGAAACGTGGTTGCTGTGTTCTTTGCACTCCCCTTGGCATCCCCCCCCCACTTAAAGGCTTTTGTACTTTTAAAAATCAGTTACTTGGATTAACTTTCTACATGTGTCCAACAAACCTCCTTAAGAAATCAGATAATTTATTTAAATAATTGAATATAGTCAAATCCACTTTCTTCAAGGATTCAAGCCCAGGGCGGGACTTGTGTTGCAGTGGGATTCTGCATGATTGGATTCCGCCATCAGTGCACAGTGTGAATGTTACCCACAGGCAGCTGTCTCTGAGGAGCTCTGGGGTGATTCCTCACATCCCATCCTCACAGCTCAGGTTTTTGGATAGACATCCAGACTCCTTTAAATCCTGAGCCCCAGCTGGCATCCTGCCAGCTTCTGCCCTGCCTTTTGGGAGCTGAGACTCTGCCCCAGCCCAGCACTGCTCACTTAGGGGCCAGGCACTCACTCCACTTCAGTGATTTTCTTTTTCAAGGCTGTGTTTGCTTCAAACACAGCATCCATGCATGTCTACTGGATTCCTGAAGCCAGTCGACTCTGCTGCAAAAGAGAGGGATAGAGATTCGTGGGGGGAGGGAGCAGGTCTCAATTATTCACTCTGGTTAGCACTAACAGAAGCATGGTTACATGTATATACCAAGCTTAGTTATGAGACTATGTACAGACCACCCTGCAGGATCAAGTGGAACAGGGAGTGGGATGAGAGTGGCTTCTCAGTGACACAGGACATCCCATGGAAGGGGTGGAGTGGTGTAACATGCTCTGAATGGAGTCATACAGAGGTAACGCTGTGGACATCAGAGGGCCTGGCAAATCCCAGAGAGCTCATGCATGGCCTCCAGGCCTATTTATTTATTACAGAGC